AAGCCGTCTTTGTCTCGTCTCCTCGCTCTCGCTCGCTCCCTCGGTCCGTCCCTCTTCGCTCACTCGTTCGTTCGCTCGCTCCTTCTCCGTTGCGCTCGCTCGCACGCACGCACGATCGTTCGTTCGTTCGTTCGTTCGTTCGCTCGCTCGCTCACTCGGCTTACCCGTTCTCGGCAAGGGGATCCTGTTTCCGTTTTTCCGACGCGACCTCCGCACGTAGCTGCGCGACGACGAAAACGACGCGCTCGGCATCTTCGTGTCGTCGGCGGCCCTCGGCGGTCGTCCTCGTGTCCGTCCTCGTTGCCGTCGTTGTCCTCCTCTTCCTCCTCCTCCTCCTCGGTCGCCGTCTGCCTCTCCTGTTCCGCTTCTGTCGATCTTGCGATTCGTCGCACTAGCCGATTAGGAGGATACGCGAGGTCCGGCGGTACCCTTCCCCGGCAGTAGGGCAACCGCCGCGGTACCGTGTTCGGCGGACGCTGCCTCTGCCACGGCAGAAGCTGCCAGAAGCTTAGGATGCACTACACAATAGCGACATTACCATCGTGCACGGCGGCCATCTTCTTGGTCTCTGCTCGCCGACTGGCCCAGAGGGCAGCCGCCAATCGGACAAGTTTCTGCTCCGCGAGTGCGTGCCGTCGTCCACCCCCCACCCCCCATTCGACTCACACCGTTCTGGCGTTCTACCGTCTCCAACCCTCTACCGCTGCGGCGCCTCTATCTCTCTTCTCTTTCCTTCTCTCTCTCGTCCCCGCGATCTCCGCTAACGCCACGGGGCTTATTACCGAGCCCCCCTTTCGCAGTGGAGCGCGACACAGGCGACCGACATCGGTTATGGAGTTATGGAGGCCGCGGAACCAAGTACCGATAACTCGCCAAATTGCGCCTCGGCGATCCTCGCGTGCCTCGCGCTCTCGATCGTCTACGTGGCGAGCCTCTATGTCTGGAGTTCGCCGCACAACAGGTACGTTGCGGTAACGCGTCCGGCGGTGGCGAACAGCGCAACGTCGACGGCGACGTCGCGATCACCGAACACTCCTGATGTCAACGGGTTGCCCACCCCGCGCTTCTTCCTCTCCTTCAAATACGTCCATCCAGCGAGACTCCTCGCGTGGAGGAGGCTCGCGCCTCCGTTTTGTCGGAGCACACTTGTCTGTTCGGTAAACCGCTCGCGAACGCGAATCGTCCCGCACCGACCGGATGGATGCTGTGACTGACGCACGCAGTTGTCCGCACGTGGTGGCGCTCCCTGCGGCTCCCTGTCGCGGCGCCGCTCCTGGAATTTCTGGACAAACGGCAGCCAGCGCCGCACGGCGAAACCCGTCAAACGGAATTCCGGGGGACGTCACGCGATGGAGACATCGAGTGCGCCACCTAGATCGTACACGATTAACGGCGTTGCTTTAGCGCGATATTCGAATCTGAATTCGACGTTAATTAATACTTTATCAAAAAAAGTGCTTTATAATTTTGTATAAAAATTACTCAAATTCACGACGCATTTCCATTATGTTTGTTATAATTAAATTAATTTATTTTTTTCTTAAACCTTAATTTTTTTCAAATATAATATATAAATATAATATACATAGTATATTTTTTTTTAAATGTTAAAGCAATTCTAATGTCAAAAAAACTATTTGTACAACCAAACATAATTTCGATAACTATAATAATTATAAAGCAACTAGCAAGTGATCAATAATCCTATCAATTTCCAGCAATATATCAAAGTTAAAAAATATTTTATAATTTTTTGTAAAAATTATTCAAATTAAAAACGGTCCGTTCTCTAAGATTTTTCATGACGTTTGTTATAACATGTGATGTTAAACTTTCTCTCTTTAGTTTTTCATTTTTTCAAAAAAATATATAAATACATAACAAATATGTAGTACCTAGATTTTTAAAAAAATGTCAAAGTAATTCTAGTATGAACAGACTATTTGTACAAATAAATATAATTTCAGATTATAGTAATTAAGCAACTGGCAAGATTAATAATCCTATTAATTTCCACAATATAACATACATTACATATAGTTCATATAGTTTATATACTTATTTATAAAAATATTTGATATCATATTTTGACGTTAAACTTTATACTCGATGGCTTATGTTTCAGAGAGCATCCATCGACTATAAAGAAACGATTTTTTAGCGTATTTGTCATGACTCTCGTTTCGCCGGCGTCCTTGTACTTTGGACTAAATGAGAAGATACTTCAAAAGGTATTTTTCGTTTACACACAATTTAGACTATTCTCTATAGATAACTATTTTTATTGTACCTAACAGACAACCATCTGGGAAATGTTGGGCCTTCGATGGACGGGCCTGATACAGGCGACTGTGATATCGTTGCTCCTAACGATGATCCTGTTCCTAGGTCCCTTGAGTTTACAAGGATTCAACGGACTGTGGAGATTGTATACTGGTTAGTATCCGAAATTGATCTAAGAGTCTAATGTGCGTTTCCATTAATATAGATTAACTTTAATCTCGGTTCCAAATTGCTCTTCTTTTTCTAATTAATTCTTTTTCTAAAAATTAGGAAAACATAAAGTATAAGTTATAGTGAGATTAAAGTTAATCTATATTTGTGGGAATTAGCATTAACGTCTAACAGTTAATAGCTATACATTTATCATAGAGCCCATGTATTGGCTGGCGAGCGTACAAACTCTAACTTGGTGGAGAAATCAGGTGGTCGCTCCGTTGTCCGAGGAATGGACTTTTAGGGCTTGCATGTTGCCATTACTCCTGCAATGCTTCACTCCGACTACTGCCATATTCGTGTGTCCTCTATTCTTCGGGGTGGCTCACTTCCATCATGTGGTGGAGAGAGTAAAGATGGGAATGAGCATCAAGCATGCATTGTTTATATCTTGTAAGTTTTGAGGCGAATATTTGGAATCTATGGGTGCTTTTCATTTGGTAACATAAGTCAACACAAGTATTGATCTATTTTTGTTACTCACTGAACGCTAAGAAAGAATGATGCTTGTGTCACCAAAAGGAAAACACCCTATAATGTCCAGTGAACTGAAATAAATTACGTTGAATTTAGGTTTTCAATCTACGTATACGACGTTATTTGGAGCGTACGCGGCCTTTCTTTTTGCGAGGACAGGTGAGATCATTTTCCCTTTTTTTTTGTTCTAGAATTATTAGAGAAAAGTTTTTCGATTTCATGTATTTTTCTTAGGACACTTTGTTGCACCATTTGCTGCGCATTCATTCTGCAATCACATGGGATTTCCTGATCTCTCTGAGATAGCGACATACAAGAATCCACTGAAAAGAGCTGGATTTATGTGTCTGTTTGTGATCGGCTTGGTTGCCTGGTGTTACTTGTTGATGCCGATGACTCATCCATCATTGTTCAATAATAATTTATTCTGGACTAAACACTTTATATGAGACACGTCCGATCTCTAACAAATATTAGGATATAACAAATATTAGGGTTAAATGTTTTTATGCAGAATTTATCGCAATTATTCCACCGATCTTCCGGTTTACACACACATTGTTGTGGAATATTTTATATTTATGTTTAACAAAGAGTACAATATCTATCTGTCGAAAAATAATGCGAAAATTAAAATTACTCTAGACTAATTTTAACTATATATTCGATAATTATAATATTCGTATATCTATAATTTAACTAATCGTGCAGTTCAGCATTGTTACAAAGTATATCACCGTAGTGCCTGAGAGTTAAACTTTTATAGTGGTAATTACGAATGTTACAACTGTTAGATGAACTTGTTCGTAAAAGCAAAATGCGAAGAATCCAGCCCTAATTATTATTTACGAATTGCTGCACATATTTATATGCCGCAACATTATATTATTTCATAACCACAATTCGTTAAATGTTATCGATATTTTCAGACACAGAGAAAGATTTTTATAAACAAAAATTATAATATAGATAATTATAGAGCTAATGTAACCAACTGAGAAAATTTCTAAAACGATCTTTCTAATCGTCTACTTTTATAACAGTCTCTATGTATAGTGTATATAAGATGTCCATTTGTACATGGCAGTGATAAATATTCAAACAATAAGCAGTATACATCTCCATACACATACCAATGGTTTATTTAAATCACAGAAGTAACGCGATTGCGCAATAATATTACTATAAGTTTTATATATGTATATGTACATTGATGAACGCGTATACATTATATATGCAGTGAAGCTGTAAGTATTTATGTATATAATGAGAGTACAATTTGATCTTTGAATATATGTGTAATCTTTTAATTGCATACGTAATGTATACCATTCTTTAATCAAGAAATAAGTGGTAAAATCAACTTCTTAAATAATATTCAGGACATAAAATGTTGATACAATGTTGAAATAATGTTAAGTGTTTTACACTCGAAGCAAGATCACTATATAGAAATATTAATTGATATACATATAATGATGACGTAATGATGGTCACACTGATTTCCAATGTAAATTTATCAGAATTTAAAATTATTTGGCAATCTTGTTTCGAGACATTAAAATGTGACAAATAATATGACTCCGTGCATCATTCTATGCATCTCGTATTTGATTCATTTTATAATATTGATACATAATATACTGAATATACATATATACATAAATAATATATAAACAAAATGTTTAACTTATATTATCTATCAGTTCTTGATTTTGTCAAATATCTATTCCTTCTCTTATCTTATTAAACGAGCCAACATATAAAAATTTACATCGAACAATATCTCATAAAATTGATCTCTTTAATAGCCATTTTGCAATAAAATGAATAACAATAAGTAGCAAGAAAAACATATAAATATGAATCTCTAGATATTTATAGAATTTTTAAAACAGTAAATTTTAGAAAAAGTTTGTTATGTCGATATTAACAACAATATTCTTGCGTATGTTCAAAAGCGATAGTGATATTATCAAACTTTTTTAAAAATAATTTAATAAACAGTCACATATATTTATGCACAAGAGCAAATTCCCTATTAAAATAATGATTTCAACAATAATGGCTACAGAGTTTAAAAATGTAGTCATGTGCAGTCATGTCTTTCGCTACGTTATTTCTAAATTGCACATTGTTTGAGTAGACAGCAAACTCTGGTCTCATTACACATTGAAAATGCAAAGATGGCGATTTAGGAACTATGGCTACAGACTTTTTTTGACGATTTATAATAAATAAATAATTAAATAAATGCAGATTCTGTTTGTGTGCACTTTAGCACGACATACCTTGCATCAGGCACATCCTTACGTTTGACTTGATCCAGGCGTTGGTTCTGGATTTTGCGATTGATTGAGAAACAATACGTTACTTGACTTAATTCTAGGTCCAGCTGCGAGCAAGGAAGGAGACGGACTAATGCAAGGCGTTGAGCAGTGGCTGTTGCTTAGATCACATTGATCCAACAACTTCCAAAGTTCTTCTGGCGTAGGTCCACCGGAGGTATCTATTGTAAAAAAGACACGGGGATAACAAAAATTTGACAAGACATTTTAATTCAATCGACGAAATTAGTCACAAAAAGTCTTGTAGAAAATTAATATAAAATTAGTATTTATCATAAAAAAATAATCGCAATTATTTATATATAGGCTATTTTTCTTCCTCTCTAAAATACAATGTGAATAAAAAAAATTATTAGAGAATAAATAAAGAAAAAATATAGAATAAATATAGAATAAATACAGAATAAATATATAATAATATAAAATAAATATAGTTTGTTTGCTTCCTATAGAACTTTTCTTATATATACAATTTATGTTAATTTTCTACTTCCTACACTATTTCACATATGTGAGTCATGCTCGCTGATTCCGTTACGTCACACAACGGGAGAGAGTAACGTACCTCGAGTGGCATTGAAAGACGGATCCAATGCCGTTGTGAGATCCCACATTTGAATGGTGCCGTTAGAATGACCAGTGAATATGAAACGTCTGGGCCTTGAGCCCATGCGACTAGAACCTTCACACTCGTGCACATAGAATGAGCTTATGATGCTGCCGTCCACCGACTGTATTACGCAAACTCTTTTCCCATTCGACGCTAATCGCACAAACAACTGATCAGTTTCGGGTACGACTTTTTGTACGAATACTTGCTCGTCATCTTGCTCGCCGAATGGTCCTATGAATATTTTATTCGTGTATTAAATAAACCAAAAAAATAAAATTCGTATTTTAAAAGATATTTAATAAAAATAAAAACGCGGTAGAAAATATATATATATACATACATATACAAAAAGTATTATTTAAAAATAATTTTAAATTATTAGAAAGAATGATGATAGCTTAAGAGTTGCAATATTACAACATACCGAAATCGTTCCCGGCATTGTAACTAACGCATGAGTCAATTGCTTCTAAAGAAACAATTTTGAAGCTTGCCTCTGGCGTCGATCCCGGTTGAGTCGAAATCATTCCGCGGAATCTGGTCACCGCCCAACTTCTGACGTGATTATATTCCGAGCAAACCGACACTAAGTATTTTTCCGAAAGTGTTACCTGTAATATAATTTTTGCATACAAGTTAATTTTTAATGCAATATTGTGATATGATGTACAATATTAATATATAATTCTATTGATGCTGAACGTACTTTGGTTACACTGCTTTGATGCACTGTAAAGGTTTGGAATAGCTGCGGACCGTGGCCAACTGTTTCGGGATGCTGAACAATTACTCTGACACTTCCGGATTTCGTGCCATAGGCGATTTCTATCCAATTTCCGCAGAGACCTATGTTGGGGAGTTGATGTACTTTTAGAAAAATATGCTACATATTAATCACCTGATACACTTTAAGAATTAGACTGAATACATCTCTGATCATACATATAATTTTAACACTATTATATACTAATTAAGATTTTCATTTCAATCTATACTTATTCAATTTAATATGCAATTTATGGATAAGATAAAATTTTAATAGTGTATCAGAGGATTAATTACCGATATAATAACTACGACAATGAAAAATTTCAAAAATGTAGACGTAACGTGAAGTAATCTTTAAATAACACATGTGTTCAAATGAGTACTATTAATAAAAAATAATGTTTATGATGTTTCGAAGCTTACAATGCCTCATGCTGCACATTGCAACAATAAGCAGAAGCCATTTATAACAAATAATGTGTATACATATATATATAATTAAAATTATAATATCTTATAATTAAGCAATAACACGATTATGTGTGCAGTTATTAATAATATTATTTAAATTTAATTTTTGCATAGATTTAGTCCAAAAAAGTAAAAATTACCTATAAATTTGTCACTACCAACGAAAAAAAGTACACAAGCAAAGATACATGTTTTCTATTACCTCCCTTTCCCCTCTCAGATGCTGGCATGGAACATATTACTATGAATAGAAAGAGCAAGCAAGCAGCTAAATCAGATTAACTGAATCCACTGCGTAAAGTATGCGAAAAAATAAAAGAACATCGCGTTAGTACAACTGGACGCATAAGGATAGCAGGGTTGTGTATAAGTTGTGCAATCTAATATCATTTCATAAGTCCCATGTGAATTCGTACTCTCGCATATACAAAAAGACATGTGTTTGCATTCATTCTATTAATTATAAAATAAATATTTTTGTGACAGTTTCTATATATTAAGGGACGCTTCTATATATTATATATAAGTATTTCTTTTTATATTTTGATACGCAAAAAATATATAACTATGCGCCAGTGCATCGATATAAAACTTAACGCTATCTGGAGAGGAAGAGGGTATTTGCTTTAATCGCACGAATCATGTTTGATGCAGTCAACACAAAGATGAAGGCGGATGACGCTTCGTTTTGTACGAGTTGAACGTGAGAAAGCAGAAAGTCTGCTTACATCGACCCATACTTGCCTTGTGCTATTTATCCAGTTGTACGAGAAATGATGAAGCAAAGAATGTAATAATAAACTCTCATTAATATCTTTAAGGACCAATACATCAAACCTTATAATATTCCTATAATATCTTAATAAATAAAATAGACGCTGGTTAGTAAAAACATTTATATATTTACATCTATATGTATGTATGTATGTATGTGATTATTAATGATTCATGATTGTGTTTAATCTGTTATTCTATTTTAGCACAGTAACTGGAAAAAATGATCCTCGCGAAATGAAACTGTTGAAATGGTGACGTTTGTTATTACATTCTGCATTAAGCAGCTTTAATAAACAATCTTGATAAAATACGTCACTCGTTCGAATCGCTTTTTAACAAATAGTCCTAGTTGTCTCTAAAGGAAAAAGTTTTTACTTTGGAGTACTAGATTTTTATTATATTTGATGACATTCTTACATTAAGATAAGAATAATCATAAAGAAAGACTTACTAGTTTTCGGCGTCAAATACACAGATATCGCAGTTATGGGATCATAACTCGGATCTCGATATAACTCGGTCACGAGTAGGTCGTTATCCTTCATTCGCAAAGGAAACTTTTGCATATCTGTAATTCATATAGTAATCGAAATATATATGATTACAGAAATATAATTCTTTAAAAATTAGCTTGTGATCTATAAAGTGATCTAAATCTATTAAATATTTTTTTAATGATTCAATTACTTTAAATATTTAAGGTTTTAGAGAATATAATTTTTATACTCTCTCATAACACTCTTCTAATATACAATTTGTCAAAATTGTACCAAGAATTTTACTTAGAAATATACTTTTTTGCTTACCAATATAATAAATAGAACCATTATTGCAACCTAATAGAAGAAAAGATCCAGCAGTATCAAATGACAGGATGGGCACTACGTCCTGTATCTGCCAATGATGAGTCATCGCGTGCCACACACCGATTTTTCCTGTCGGCGATAACGCAACCAACTGGCTGCCAATGAAGAATAAGTATTCCACACGCACATTTAAATTAAATGTGCCCACATTGATCTTGATTCCTTCTTCGGACACACCCCAGAGTCTTACTTGACTGCCATAGGAGATCGCAACCATCTTGCCATCCGCGCCACTTCCCATCTTTGCATTTATTGCCACGCGTTCTATTATGCATTCGATATGGGGACTGGTGAACACGTGTTGCCATCCAGATGAGTCCTTCAGCCGATAGCATGTGATAAAATGCGCGTAAGCAATCACTATCCAATTGTGGTGCGCTTTTATAATTTGTACTCTCAAAGGGTCTACCCATGATGAAACTGCAATCAAGTAGTTTTATCAATATTAGAAATGGAAAGCAAAAAATGGGCATCATTTTACAGAAAATGATTCATTGATGCTTACCTTGTTGTGATCCAAATATTAAACCGATATCATTTTTATATAATTTATTTAAATCAGCTGAATTGTTCCTAGCATGTCTCAGATCTAAAGATGGTGTGCGAGAATGCGGAAGACCGCGTTGTGGCAATCGATAATCTAAAGAGGAATTTCTTATATGGGTTCCTAATGCCCCTTTATGATTTTGTAGCCCTGTGGCAAAATAATTATTTGTCAATTTTCTTTTTAATGTTAAGTAATTCAACGCTTTTTTAATTAAATATTTTAGATGTATATCTATTAACTCTTCAGAGCTGATGCCAAAATCTGTAACAGTTATTGACGTGGAGTCTGTAAGACTCATTTAATTTATATCGATTAGAAGATATTAATTAATCCAAGGAACTACGAAAACACCACCAAAAGAGATTTCTAAGTAAAATTCTTGGTGTAATTTTGAAACAAGTGGCATAATTCTTATAAAAAAGAATGAATACTAAGTTTATTTTAATAACGATAATTTTAAAAATCATAAATACTGTGTGGTTGTTAATTCCTGCGACTTGATATTAACGTTACTGCAATTAAAATATATTTTTTTAATCATTACCAACTTTTTTTTCCATTGATTCTCATTGTCCTTTTTACTTGCTGACTTTGAACAATAATTCAAATTTGTAAATATAACATAAAGAATATATTTGAGTAAGTCTAATAAATTCATTGTCAGCTCTGGAATGTTAATACTGTTAATAGGAAATCAGTGATAAAATCTATAAATACCATTAGCACTTTGATTAGTAGAGTTAGTGGTTGTCACAGATTGCGAGGTAGATGGTCCATCGACTCTAGAGTTTGAAGCAGAACTAACTCTAATATGAACTGATACATCACTGACATTTGATGTTACTGCAGGTTCTTGAAGCGGTATACCTTTAAATAAACAGAATCGTTACATTACATTCTCATTTTACAGTTTTGTTTTCTCACTTTACATTTATTACAATAAATAACATGTTTAACACACTTGGAGGTGGTAAGTAACCATAAAACAGTACATCGCCACAAGATGACTGAGTCAAGTCTTCACAGAGTATCAATCGTTTAACTAAGGGAGTGATGCCATAATACTCTGCTTCATGCCTTAAAGTTCGAATATCTATATTTTTCAGATCAATGTCCTTGGTACGAAGGTAATTCAATATAATAGAGAACAGCTTTGGGTCTCTATCTATAAAAAGTGCGCCAGTCTCATCCTTGTGACTGTCGATTCTGTTACTTAACAATGCTGTAAAGAAAGAATCCGGGATCCACGTCAGAGTTTGACGAGATGTGGAGAATCTAAAAAAAGAAACGATTTGACTGTCAAGACCAAGATGTAAAAGACCTAGTAAGAGATTGATGAAAAAATACAACATAAGATCCAAAAAACAATAAAATATCAAGACAAAAAATGTAAAATAATCTAAAATAATCTATAAACCAATATCTTAATATGCAGGTTTAAAAGTTGGATTTTATTTAACGGGTCAAGTAAAAACAGATGATAGAAAAAAAATGATTAGTGAACAATTAATCTACCTAGTGCCGCCAACGTTCAGATGAACGATATCGCTCACGCCTAGATAAGGCGCAGCCATTCTCGGGGCTATCGCGTGTTTTTACAATGACAACTCATATCCCCGTGAGATCGTCGGGGATGTCACAATTATCACGAACGAAAACAACCCTCCTGACAATCTTGATTGGTTCTGATAGGTTATGCATGCATCAGCCTGATTCTACTGCGCATGCACGACTTGACGACTCTATTCAGCGATTCTCAATGAAGTGTGAAGTGTGAAGTCGGAGCACAATTTATCGATCGTCTACTTACGAGATCGAGAGATCAAAATTTGAATTCAAATTCAAATAAAAATGTATAAGGATATGTTTTTTTTACAGAAACAGACATATAATACAACCGAACGTAGGAAATTTCTTGGACATTTCAGGACAAAAATAAATGAAAATTATAGGATAAAAACTTCTTCAGAGGCTTTGTTGTATAAAGCAATTTCTTTCTTAAGCTCGGTTCTATCAATATAAGATTAACTTTAATCTCGGTTCAATTTACTCTTTGTCTTTTATAATTTTAAAAATTAGAAAAAAATAAACAGTAAGTTAAACTGAAATTAAAGTTAATCTTACAATAATCGAACCGAGTCACAAAGTAAATAAAATTTAACTATTTGTCACATTTAAAAAATTTTTTTAATTTTCTAAACTTTAGATTATGTCAACTTTATGAATGGCAAAATTAAAAAATGTGACAAATAGTTAAATTTTATTTACTTTGTGACTCGGTTCGATTATTGTAAGATTAACTTTAATTTCAGTTTAACTTACTGTTTATTTTTTCTAATTTAATAAATTTCTAATTTAATAAAATTCTTCGAAATACAAATACTATCCCACGACTACTATATATATTTTCAGGGTAAACTGTAAGAAAAAATTTTCTCCATGTGTATATAAACTTATAATGTTTAGAATCTAAATTAAATCTTTCTCATTAAATAATAAAACTACAATAAAATATAAAATAAGTTTGATTAATTTTACTAAAGTGCATGGTAAAAATCTTTAAAATATTGTATTGTACATAACTATCATATTTTCAGGATAAATTTTAACAGAAAATTCTTTCCGTGCAGTGACATTTCACAAAATCTTCATTGAAGACGCGTATACTCAACGCAATTTCCACAAACTATTAGAATTAGATTTTCTCGAAAACAAAACTGTGAACATAAAAAAGTTTATTCTGCACTTATTTTTGTAAAAGGAATCACTCCCCATACGGTTCTATTGATTCGTCCTCATCCCGTATAAATCAAACTACTTTAAGAAATTACAAAAATATATTAAACAATATAAATGAATGGCTAAAAAAATAGAGATAAAATTATAATAAATCATAAATAATGCGCAAACAAGGACATAATTGAAAAGGTGTCTTTGTTATTTCTGGCATTATTATGCAAATAGACGCCTCTATAAATTTATATAGTCTATACATTTATGCAATAATATCGTCATATTGAATAGATGCATATTTATTACTCGAGATAGAAACTTCGTATAAATAGTCAATAAATCCATATGTATTTATGCATAATTATCAAAGTTATGCACGAAAGAAGTATATATTTTATTTTCAAAAATCTATTAATATATTTTTTGCATACCTTACTTGTTAGCAAGAGTATTCTTATGTAATTTTCCTTCTCCTTCACTATCCCATTTATTTTTAACGCAAAGTATGAAACGTTCAATAACGCAGATAGCCCTCTTTCTAGAGCAAAATCTCCCTGTAATAAAATCGAAAATCACTTACAAAGATAGAATTTGTTCTCAACTATTACCTTCTTACTTCCTATACGTTTACCATGATTACATAGAATATTCGTAACTATGCTACTCCCCCAAGTCACTGGCGTAGAATCTGAAATAATCCTTAACCATGCACAAATCAACGTTAAAGTTGTCATACGAATAATATTAATCAATTATACAAATATATAAAAATGATGGAGAAATAGAACATTCGATTTTTTATAATAAATAAAAAATTCTCGCACAAAGATTCGCATAATTTTAAGTTAAGAGATGACAAGGCATTTTTCTTTTCCCATCGAAAGGGAAAAGGTCGACATCTATGCACGCAAGAAGTTTGCCCCGCCCGTTAGTGGAGAGTTTCGAACTTCGGGCATTATGCCACCTACGAGAACGACATCCGGTCGTTATCTCGTCATTCGTGCGATCGAATCACGAGAATAGAGGGGAAGAAAAGATTGGCACTTTCGAGATTGGCACATAGACCTCTCCGCCGGTGAGCGAACGGTGACGGACTTCCGGCTTTTCCGCAGTCGCAAAAAGTCACGAGTCGCGATCGCATCGTCGAGTCGCATTGATAACGGGCTGAAGAGAAGAAGACATGGAACGCCAAATGTACGCTAATAAAGAATACGACGAGTTAATCAAGCCCGTCATGATAGCTGCCAAATTCGTCTCCTTTTGGCCTTTGGAGAGGGACCATTCAACTAGTGCGGAGGTGTTCAAGACTTGTCACGTGCTCTGGTTCTTTTTCGTAGTATGCAAAATTAATATCTTGCTTAACCCTTCACTGTCAATATGAACTTCGCTCTTCCATCAGCAATAGGGGTCTCCGAGAAACAGAATAAACTTTTTATTGCTCCGAATTATATAAAAATCTAAAAAAATTATATATACTTGTCAAAGTTTTAACAGTGAATTTTTACCATTCTAAAAGTTGTATTTTACTTATTTTTTACAGATCATTTAAACTTATCTACCAAAATTCACAATGACCCCAGTTGCCGGTGGAGGTTTAATTAGACGCAACAAAATTTTAAGATAAGGAAAAGAGATTTCCCATACAGCATAAGATTTGCAGCAATATCGCTGCAAAATCTCTGCAATATTGCTGCAACATGCAATGTTGCTGCAATTTTTTGTGCAACTTTGTGCTGTAGGGGTTACTTCTGTTAATTAGTATTAAATATTTTAATCTTTACAACTAAAGGACTCTGCATTAATTATATACTGAAAAAAATGATGTTATACAATGACGTCAAAACAGCATTATTTTAATAAAAAATAATTTTGTTAATTTATAATAACGCTATAACGAACAAATGCTCTTGTTTTAAAAATTTTATTTCATTAATACTGTTATTGAATCAACAAGATTATTTTCAATTACAATAATGCTGTTTCGATATCATTTTTTGTGTTTTAATATTATTTTTTTCCAATATATGAAAAATTCAGTGAAATGAATTAGTTTTCATATAATATAATTTATAATATGATGAACAAAAAGGACTTCAATGAATCATTTTTTCAAGCTATCTATGGTGTATTAAAAGTTTTATGAGCATAAATGTTATACTTTTTGATATACCTTTGGTTCTTTCTTTCGTAAACTTTTCTCAATAAATAAACTATCACTGATAGATCTATTTTTTCAATAATTCAACGTCATTTGCAACATATAGCTCATCTCAATGTGTATCAGTGTGACGGCCGATATAGTTTACAATTTTAACAATTTGGACGAACTGACAGCATGTGCTTTAATGGGCTCCGCATTTTATCTTGCCACGTTACGTCTCATTATCTATACGTCCTCCCAAAAAGATATGCTATATGTGATCGAGATTATGAGAAAGGATTGGATTTGTTCATCTTATGAAGATAGAGACGTTTTGAAGGAGAAGTGCCTTTCTGCATTTCGACTTGCAAAATGCTTTATAATTATGGTAACTGTAACCGTAGCTACCTTCTCATGCATACCAATTTTAGAGGTACGTACAAGACATATTTAATATTTCTATTTGTGACATACACAGATTCTCTCAAGACACAAAGATTATAAGAAAATAAAAAGTTTACTTTTGAATTTAAAAGTAATTTTTCGTAAGACAATTTTCGCAATTGAAAAAAATTTCTGTTCATACATCTTTTATTTCCAATGCTGAAAATTTAATATAATTTTCAAGGTTCTTACATCGTTCGTAGAGTTGCAAATTTTCAATTTTATGATAATAAAAGATCTATTTTGAATTAAATATGAAGTGGCATTAGAATATCTTTTGATATAAAACTTAAGATCTTCCCGAGAACTTCAGCTTATTGCTTCAAAACTTCGTACTTCTCTCTCTATAACTTTTTAATTGACTCCGTTATTAAATTGTACCTGTAGACCAATTAACTGCGGAAGTTTCTTTAAATCTAACTGTCTATTTTCTTAATAAAACGATGTTTAACGATAAATTTTAATTGCAAGACATTTATAAAACAAACGTTCTCAAACGAGAAAAACTACTTTTGCAGATGTCCATTTCATGTTTCGTGAAACGACGGTGATAGATTGACATATGCAACACGTGCGACAGGGCAACGCAAATTGCACGATGATTAACGCTGACATTTGTAGCTTTTCGAAATTCCATTTTTTTTCTCTTTTTGTAAGGTACCGTTCTCCCGAAATTGTTTATTATCGCTTCGCAAATGCGTCGGTAGTGCCTTTACACGGGAAATTGTTTTCCGATGGTCGTTTCGCTTTACGAGCCTTTCGAAAACACCTGCACACGCACGCGTACGTTACATAGATGTTAATCCCTTCGCCGTATTTATTTCCCCGATACACACATAATTAAATTGTTAATAAATTATTAACAATTGTGGAAAATTAATTTGAGCTGAGGAGAGGAAAATACGAGACAACACAATAATAATCAATACTGAATAATATAATCTAAAAAGCAAGGTCATTACAAACTTCGTAATCAACTATAATTGTTATCAATTATCTTGTTTTTTGTTCTCGGTTGAAATATAATCCTTACACAAACAATAAGAAGATAATTAATTAACTATAAAGAGCGATTAACTGTCCTAACTCTCAGAAATATTTATTTGCTTGATTAGGCATATGTTCTTGGAAGAGAGAAGATATTTCCCTTCCGTGGGTATTTCTTCATCAATCAATCGGTCACACCCGTCTACGAATGTATCTATGTTTTCAATGTAATGGGTGGCTTTTTTGCGGGTGGCACGATAGTCGGCGCGACCAGTTTCAATTTTATCGCGATAACACATGGATCAGCGAAATTCGCGGTGCTGCGAAAGAGGCTGGAAGCAATGAATAGCAATGATCCCGATGCTGACAGAGCAATGGCAAACTGCATTAAAGATCATCAAAATGCTATTACGTGAGTATTTATATTACCTATATTAAGTATAAAAGATCGATATGATATTAAAATGTAGGAAAAAACAATTTTTAAAATAATTCTTTAATAAAATGTAAAAAATATTTGAACACTAACAATTGACCACTAAAGCTACACTATAATAAAAAATACCTTCGCATAAATATATTAGTGTGAAATTTGTCTGTAATACACGGAAACAACGATTTTGATAAAATATCTAAAAATTTAGGTAGATATAGATCGGAAAACAATTACGTATAAAGAATCTCAAGCATTAAGCAATTAATGCAGCAAAAAGTTTTGACATTTTTATATAATTATTTCGATGGTCCAACAAAATTATTTTCAGATTTGTATTGAGCTAAATTTGTGAATATTTCAGAAAATCATCTTTTCCGTATATTTTAAGTTGTCACAAATTCTTCATCTTAAAATTCCACTTTTCTCTGATTTCCAGATAAAATTTTATGATTTTCCCTTAATGTTTTCAATAATATTTTGAAATTTTTTGTATTTTCGTCTTTTTTTGGACGTCAAATATTTTGTTGAGAGAGTAATTTAATATAGCAATGCAAATTACCATTAATGTTGCCGACACTACTTGATATTCTAAAATTGCGTAGATGTGATGTACGTATATTAAACTTCTTTAAAGTCAAGAATTTAAATTTTTCAGAAAATTTTGCCTTACTTTTTCCTGACATTTAAAATTTTCTTGACATTTTTTTGATTTCCAATTCTATGGCAACCCTGTAAATTTACTCTATTTATATACGTAAATACAGTAATACAGTTCTTGTCATCGTTCTTCGCTTTCTTTCTGCTTTAGTTTCGCGGATGCGCTCGAAAGAATCATAAACATCTTGGCGTTAGGACAGTTCGTTATCAGCACCGGTTTGGTTTGCTTCGCGGGATTTCAAATTACTTCGGTACGTTCGTTTGCTAAAAACGCGTTAAACTAAAAATATCATATTGCAAAATGTTATTCTAGATGATGAAAAACAAGGTACGCTTGATGAAATACTCGATGTTTTTGAACTCCGCCATCCTGGAACTTTTCATGTTTAGTTTCAGCGGACACGCGTTAATAGACGAGGCGAGTATTCTATATCTAATTACACGTTATTTGATCAAACCAAAACTGCGAAGCTTGATAAGCAAATAAATATTTAAATTAATTTTCTATTTATAATTAATCGGTTTATTTAGTTATTTGGATTGTAAATTGGTTATTACAATGTCTGCTATTTTTTGCCGAGTAAAACGTCAGCATAAAATTTAGATTAAATTAGCATCGTGGCGCAAAATTGTAATCCTTTTCCGCGAAATTTATGCATCTTATTATCAGTTCACATTATAATTATGTCATTATATACGTAAATTTTTGTGCAATGTAGATTATTAGATAACGTATCAGATTGCATGCGTATTGCAATTGCACGAATTTTAACGAGCGATGGAAGACTGAATGCACGATAATCGTATCGACTGATTACCAACGCATGTATCTTCATTAGTACATAGTTCGTTGAGCTCACAATCGCCTGTAATTAATTTACGGCCAACGCTTGTAACGAACCAGAGCGATGCCGTGAGCAAGTCGGCTTACTGTAGCTACTGGATCGGCGGCACTTTCGGTCGCAGTCTGCAGATCGTGATGATGCGGTCGAAAGTTCCTTCCAGGATCACTGCTGCAAAGTTCTACAGCATGTCTCTCGAAAGTTTCTCTCAAGTGAGTAGATTATTGTGTCAAACAATAACTAAATTTAATTTTAGGCAATATACTCCAAGACTTAATTACATTATAATTATCTTGTGTATGCTAACATATTTGTTGATGTTGACAAATGATCTTCTTTTCACCAAAATTTTACAAAAAACAATATTAAATGTATATATGTAAATATATTTTAGGTTTTATAAAAAGATTTTATTTAAAAATTTATTTAATATTTTTTCTAATAAATAAATTAATAATTTCAATTCTTAACTCGTCGGTAATATGAGATTTTGAAGGCACAATCAATTCTTTTATTATGAATTCTGGTGAATTATGGTAGATCAATTTAAATCTATAAAAGAATAAATAAAATAAAATTTAATTTGATAGTAAAAATTTAGCTACATACATATCTGAAAATAATTTTGTTGAACCATCAAAATATATTATATAAAATACTCAAACTGATTGCTAGAATATTAAAACTTTTTATAGCATTACTCATTATGCTTCAGATTCCTACGTAATTATTTTAATGGTCCAATCAATCTATTTTCAGATCTGTGTTTATGTTGAATTTTTAGGTACTTTAGCAAAATCATTTTTTCCGCGCAGTATGCAAAAATTTTTTCAGAATTCTATATTGTCTGGAACAATATAAAAATTTGCAAGTTCAAAAATCCAGGTTGCTAATGAAAGGTGCAAAATTACATATTATAGAAGATTAATTTAAAGTAATATTTAAGCTATGTTTAGAGTTAATTTATAGTAATATTTAAGTTACATTACGATATACAATATAATAAACGATTATATATTACAGGTACTCAGTACGTCTTTCTCCTATATAATGGTTTTGGTGACCACGAGCGAGGAGTAAGGATCAGCAGCACTAGCAATCGTAGCGCTAGCTCTAGCTCACAGAGAATATGCTAGTCGATCTGCTAGCCCAAAAATATCATGCGCGGATCAAAGAGGGACCTCGTCTGAAAGTCAACGCACTCTTAAGATATCATAAAAGACAGATGAAGTGCTTCAAAGAAATCGAGATGAAGACCATACATGATGAAATGGAATACACATACAAAGGAAACGAGCCGCGATGATCCGAGAGAGCTTTCTTAATGACTGTAACGTGCTCTCTGTTAAATATTGAGAGACGTTCCCTCTCTCATGGGCGAACACAGGCACAGTAAATTACCCTCTGACCCTCTGATTAATTCCCCACCGATAGAACCGCGTTAAGTCGCGGTCGTCACCATCGTGCAACACAGTAACCCAGTAACTCCGTTAAACACCGAGACATGCCGGTGACTGTGCCCTCGTTGTATAGAGAGAGAAGGGGGTAACATAATCAACAATACCGCAACAGCAGCAATTTGTCCTTGCTCGTTCCGCCGAGTTCTGTTTGCTAAATTACAGGGTGATCCGTAAGTCGCGGCTTGTTCCACAATAGGAGATTTAAATAAAATTAAACGCGCGCATTATTTGTGTCAAGATAGCAATGAGTATTATACGCAAAATTCCTTTTGTAATTAGAATCAAACTTCAATAATATCTACTATTATTATTAATTAGACTTCAATAAAAGATCTATTAGATACATCCTCTCTTAGAGAGTCTTGCAATATTATATTTTTTAAGGATCTTGATCTTTTAGTTCTTGAATTTATAAATCAACAAATGCATAAATTTTCAAAATTCTTAGATATTAAGATTCCAGATTATTTTAGATATTTTAATTTTTTTAATTCGTTAGGTTTTCTTATGGCGTTTTCGACCGTAGCAGGTTTGAACCAAGTTGGGTTGAATTAATGATATTGCTCTACTATTGGTTGACATTACATGCTCTAGCAATAATTATGAGCATGCAACATGTTATTAATTCAATTCAGATTGGTTCAAACCCGGTACGGTGAATAAAAACGCTACTAAATTTTTATATTTTTAGATCTTTGTATGCTTGTGCTTTTGGAGTGCTTTGAACTCTTAGTTTCGAAGTTTCTAAAGCTCTTATATTTTTAGATTCTTAAGCTCTTAAGTACATAGATCTCCAATCCTGACATCCTTGAGCACTCAGCTCCAGCAAGCACTTAAATCTCTCAATTTTCACATTTACAAATTCTTTGTACTCTACAAGCTCGATGTGGCAAGCTGTCCGAAATCGTTTCTTCCAAATCCTGATCATATTTACCATCTGGCGTTTTATGGAACGCCTTGTACACATAATTCACCAGCGATTCGTGGTGCTCTCTTTTCCGTACTGATGTCGTCGGGGGCAAGAAATCGGATAACATCTAGGCAAAATGGCACAGTGAGTTCGGCCGAGACGCTCACTAAACTCGCTCGCTCGTTCACTCGCTCACTCCTGGTGGGGTAAATCACGAAGCGGGATGGTCTTGGGAGCGACTCGAGGGTATTTTCATCGCGACAGTGCAACACGTGCACCCAATACTACTGGTGCACGCATTCGTCTCGATCATTCTCTGCCAGCTCGCGCTACCAAATTTGTGGAGGTCAGCGGGTGCATTCGATCTCCAAAAGATGTGATGAGTCGCGTTAGTAATCGTTTCTGTGCATTCTGTCGTTAACTTTTCATATCCGTGACGACCTGGACTTCTGTGCCTCGTTATTGGAAAACATCAGCGAAATGTAAATAACCGGATGACGCCAACATTATTATCCGCGAGATGGTAATATGGCGAACATCAAAGTGGCCGTGCGCGTGAGACCGGTATCTGCTAGGTGAGTACATCTCTTTTGTTTTGATACTTAATCTTTTCATAAATATATAAATCGCCCGCTAAATAATAACTCAAGAGACACACCAAGTCCACAGAAAGTCAAAATGACTTTATGTTGACGTCAAAAATGAAAGTCAAAATGATGATTTTTTTATTACAAAATTTGACTGTTTATTGGTGTTAAGAATCAAAATAAGATTATTTTGATTTTTTTTTTACTTTTGTGTTTCTTGGGAAGTGCAAGCAATGAAACTATTTGTAGAGTAATTATAATATATCTAATAAACGTTACCTTTATATGTCTGCTATTTCAATTATATTTTCATATAAAATGTTCTATATTTGTATTGTATAATAGACTATATCTGAATAATAAGATTAAAACGCGAGATGAGATCGTGTGTCACTCTTTAGAATAGTCATTTTTAATTAAAAAAATGAGTGTAATGCGATTTTCTGAGGATATTTTAAAGAAAGTCTAGTTGAATGAAAGAATAACATAATAATCACAGATATATAATATCGATAACATAAATATCGATATGGTTTCTAGAAGAGATATATCTTGAGCTGTGCGTGTTGTCAGTGGAACTGAAAATACTTCGATTTGTTTTACATTGAAGTTATATATTGAGCTTCTTCGATTAATCGATTAAAAAAATAATAAAAGATATAATAACTTCCTATTTCATAAATAAATTAATTTCAATATAATGGTTTAACATGTTGATAATATCGGATAATTGCAGGATTATTTCTTTGCAAACGCATTTAATAACAGAAAAACCCAAACACATGTTTGTAAAAAACTGTTAAAAATTATTAGATATAGCAGAAAGAATCGCCTATTCTCTTCTTTTATGCTTTACGAAGTTCGAAATATACCAATGTGGGTCAAGGCTTACTGCTTTTTTCATTACTCTTTTCTTGCATTTCTTGCATTTGCACGTAACGTTGGTTGCACGTAACATAATGTTTTAAGAAGATGATGATTAACAGCTATCTTCAAGTATCATCATTGGCACAAATTATTATAACAATAATGCATAGTAAACTGTAACGAAAAAAGTAAGTTGTTCGAATAATAATAGAAATACCAAAATAATGCTAAGACTTTTTCCCAGCAGGTATCTAATATCTAGTGAAGATCAAGATTTATAACCGCACTTTGAAAACTACCATCTCAATTTGTTTTACATTTCAGACTTCAGAAGATTGTAAATTAAGATAGAAATTGAGACGTAAGGATTGAAACATTTAAATGTTTTTGTGCTAGATTTTCCCATTTCATAATCTCAAACTTTTTATTATTCTCTAATAAATCTCTAATAAAAAAATATATGATAGGTTCTTTGAACAATTTAGATATCATGCCTTTGAGACTAAACTAAATTCGATCTCTGTATCAAGAAATTTTTCTTAATACATTCTTGATTCATCTTCGAATTCTCAATTTACGTACTGGTGCACGGCCTCAGTCGGTGCAAACACTTATGAACTCGTTTCTATACTTAGCCTACTAGGGTCGCTGCAAAAAGACGAACGCGTGCGCTCGTCCGCGAGCGGTAAAGGCGACCGAAGCGGAGTCACCGGAAGCGCAGACAAAAGTAATTGAGCGTCGAGAACTTGAGGACCTTCTGCGAAGGTTTCTGTCGCAAGTTATTGCGCATTTATTCGCACTACAAATCGTAATTAAAGCGTGATTCATTGCGTTGGGGTACCCTGTCGCGCTGCATTAAATGAATAATTTAGGAGTGTTAATTGTAAATACTTTCTTTGTATCTCGAGACAATTGAGAGTTTAGTTGATTCTTAAATATTTTCGTGATGTTTTTTATTTACACGCAAATCTCAAATTATCTCTTACGAAAGAACGCCAAGTATGCGCGAATGATGTAAATAATAATTTTAATAAAGTTTAATTTCTCGAAAAGTTGTTTTGAAATTTTCTAAATCCATCCTTCTCCATATAAGTGCATGAATCGAGTGCAATCGGAATTTATACTTCAACCGCGGGTATTTAAAGGTGTAGAATGGAGTTTCTCTCACGAAATTCGTTTGTAGCAGGAAATGAATGATTTTGCACGCCGAAGCCTATTACACGTGGTCATGCAAGGAGTGTTTAAGTTTGGTTGAATTTTATTTATCTAGATATATATACATACATAACGTATATATATACATATACACTGAAAAAAATTTTGTTCATTTTTGGTTCAATGAATGATCGTTAATCAATGTCCGACTTAATGTAGTTAATTCATTGATACAATAACTGGATTCGTTTATACAACTATATATTCATTCTTGCAATGAATTCTAGGAATATAGTTTTATAATCTAAATCATTATGAGAATTCATTGGACCAATTTTTATTATTTTTTCATAATTCAATGAATATATTTTATTGTATTTACGTACAGTTTTGGTTCAGTGTGTGTGTATATATATATATATATATATAGTTTATTTTTACACGATATGTTGCTCGAGTTAATATTATGGACAAAATCTTCCTTGTGTGTCCGATCTTGAAAGAAGACGGAAAGATTCTTTAAAATTAACAGATATTTGAAGACTTAAATCTTTAATTCTCTAAATTCTCAGATCATCAAATTTTTATATTCTTGGATCTTTTAGATTTATATTATACACAATCTCTATATATTTTTAAAGAGAGATCCCCCTTTAATTAAAATCACATGTTTCAATGTAAAAGAGAATAAGGAGTCAATTCATAATTAATAATAAGATCCACTTTGAATATGAGACCGAGTTTAATTTTGAGACCAAATCCCGCAAATTATATGCTTCCTTCAGTTACCTCACTCTTGAACCGAACTCAATTTTCTTCGTGGATAAAGAGACGTATCCGATATTTCTCTCGATATTTCTATCTCTACTGCGCGTCGAGGTCGCTTAATGATTCCGAGAGTGCGTTTCACGCCGAAAATACTTCCATTGACTTAGCGTGGGGTGCGACCGTATGGAAGATTGAGAGAGGGACTACGACTTTGTGACGGGGCGCAGAGCGACCTTAGCTTGACAGCTGGCGCATCCGTTTCGTTTATAGTTGCCTCTGTTTGACAGGTATGCGAGAATCGTCTTAACGCGTTAGCATTGTTATTTTCGGCCTACAGCGCCATGAAATGCGAGAATCGAGGGAGATACGCATGTCTTTTTTTACATTATGTGCGTCGGCCAATGCAAGCGCAGTAAAGATAGCAAGTCTCAAAAGTGTCTCGCAATTTATATAAATCCGTCGAATGTATATATAACAATGATTTATGTACTTTCTAAAAGAGCGGAACCTTTATTGATACTAATGTAGAAATTTTTTCTCTTTCTTATCTTTAATGAGGAAAGCAAATGTATTTTTACTTTTTTCGAAAATCTAAGAATTTCAGAAAATCTAGATTTGAAAAGCTTGACTCCACGACTCCAAAAGTATAAAACAGAAAACTCTAAATGCAAAAGTTTAAGAAAATAAAGATATAAAAGTTTAAGGATTTAAAAATCTAAAAATAAATTTATGAATTCAAATTGTCTATTTCTATTTACAAATTTATGTAAATCAATTATGAATTAAAAAAGAAGAGTCTGCACTTTAGAGTCGCGAGAGAAGATCATAATTGAGGCTTAGTAAAAATAATGCCTTTTACGTTCATTTAGTCTGCCAACGACCTCGTTGGAAGCAATCTGTTTCTAGCAAGCTGCTCTCAAGTGATTGAAGTGCGAAGACAAATAAACAGAGCTAAGATGATTCAACAATCGTTGCATCATAGTATCATAAAAATCTGTTGTGCATATTTTCAAGTCTTCTGAATTGAACCTACAGCCTTATATTGTCATTAATTTTATGAATGTTTTTTTTACATTTCGTTTTTATATTATTTAATATAAAAACTCCTGATATTTTCGCCAAACATTTAATTATAAATGTCCGTTTTATTTCAATTTTTAACGTCATATTAAATGCATTAATATCACTGTTATTTTTAATATCAACAAAAAAATGACAGAATGTGTGACAAAAAATAAATGTAAAAAAAAAACAGATAATCACAATCAACAATATTATAAATGCTCAGTATCATTCGTATGTTACATACATTTCTTTTAATTTCAAAATATGTCTTTTTAGCATTTGGTTTCCTTTAAAAATGCACAGATGAATTGTCTCTTGATCTATGTAACATATTAGCAAGAATTTTGTCACTATACAATGAGACGCAGCTTGAAATCGTATCGGAGCATCCACTATATTAGGACGAGAACGTGTCTAACAGGATCACGCGATGTATTGCAGGGTTAAAGCACTGCAATGCTCTCCTCCGCGTATATGTTATATGCACCGAAGATATCGCATACATAACACGGTTCTATCCTGTCGCGACATGCAGTGTCACACGACATCGACTGACCCGAAAACGCGACCGTCTATGAACCTCGCGATGTAAACCTCGATGTCCCCGAGACTTGTTTATCGGAAGACATTCTTTGAATCTATGAATGTATCTTCTCTAGCATATCTTCGGATCTTTACGGTTCTCGATTTTTATTTTTCTCGTCAAAGATATATTACACGCATATTTTTCACAGAAAGTATAAATTTCCAATTCCAGTCACTTTTTGCAGAGACTATATATTATATTATATTTGATACATCCTTCAATTCCTTATATATATTCCTTGATTGTTTCCTTAATCCCTTCAGTATTAATTTTTTATAATAATTAGAATAAGAATAATAATTATTATTCATTATATATTATTGCAGAATTATTGACATTACATCACTACAAAAAAAAAACTCGGATTCTCGAACGTATTTATAATTAAATCGCTTATAAGTTTGTACAAATTTATTAGGTTGGTATGCAGCTAAAAATATATTGTACCTGTTGCAAAGTGTTACACGTCACGATTATAAAATTAACAAAATATTGTTGCGTAAAGCAGATAATTTTTTTTATAAAACAGTCGGCTGGTTGCGCGGAATGCTTCGAGAAAATCGGGCAAAGCCCTCTATAGAATAACAAGGGGGGCGCATACCCCCGTGTGAACGCGACGCACGGTCGTATGCATCACCGCTGCTGTCGCTGTCGCTGTCGCTGCCGCCACCGCTTTTCGATGAATCGATTCCGATCCACGAAGCATGAAAAAATGTGCTTGGTAAAAAAGGATGAAATAAAAAAAAAGAATACCTATAGAGAGAGCGTAGTATGTACATGCAGACGAGAAAGATGGAAAAACGATGTCGGCTTCGAAAATGTTGGCAAAGCTGCTTGCAATGCTTGGATGAGTTTATTGACTCCCCCTCGCAAGTATTTTCGACGATATTCACCCGGTTATTCCTCGTTTGATCGTTAGACGTTGATTTTGCGAAATCTTTATAAAATGAATTTTGATAACATTTTTAAAGCTCTATAATACATTATGATTCGTTTGACCATTTTCGTTTACGTCAAGAAAATAAATATCAGAAATCTAGAAATCTCAAATCTATTTAGAAATTTCAAGCTTTTTGAAAGCATTTTAAATTTTTAAATTTCGAAATATTTACTGTCATTCTTAGATATAATACTTTTTTATATTTTCTGATTACTGAATTTTTGGACTCTTTCATGTTGTAATTTTTTAGACTTATATATGTAGATTTTTAAATTCTAAGAGCATTACTAATATATATCTTTTTATGTGCAGGGAATTAAACTTAACGGGGTCCGCAGTGGTAGTCCGCGCAGAATCGAATGAGATTTCCCTGACGAATTTAAAGGTATCGTCGAGTAAGGTTGGGGACAGTCGCGAAAGAACTCGGAGATATGATTTCGACTACTGCTTCGATTCGTCTGATCCTGAAGCGAAAAATTATGCCACTCAAGCGACGATCTACGAGACACTCGGCCAGTCCATCTTGGATGCTACGTTCTCTGGATACAATTCTTGCCTGATTGCTTACGGACAGAGTGCATCGGGAAAAACCTACACCATGATGGGCACGAAGGTGTACAGTTATGCCGCTGTTTCATTACAATAATATAATAAAATTGTAATATTATAATTATAATTTTCAGCTGATTATTTGGACATGAATTATCGTGGAAATTTCATTTTATAAATGATGCATATTTAATTTTGACATTTTTATTTACATAAACATAATATAAACTGCTTATGTATCGTATTAATATAATTTTAAATATTTTTATTAGTTTGAAACTTTAAATAAATTTATTATATACACATATATACATAATAAATTTATTTGACGTAGATTCTCATAATCGGACGTATGAATAATTGAGTGTTTTAAACATAACTTACTTTGACTTTATAATGAGAGACGATACAAAATATAAATATGTGCATTAAATAATAATTTATAAATGTATATTATCTCTCTAAATCTGAATCAGTGGATAGTCACTAATTACCCAGTGGCATACTTGGCACTGATAATCAGTGAAGTTCAACTAAAAAAGAAAGAATATTTGAGCATTATTTGACTAAAATATTGATATTTGCACGTTAATTTCAATCTTCCAATATCATATTTATTGAATTTAACAACTAAAACAAGATTAGTTAGATCACATAATAAAGATTAGCTAGGTTAGGAATCTCACATTTAATTCACTGATTATTAGTGGCATACTTGGCACTGAGATCAGTGATTATCCACTGATTCAGATTTAGAGAGATATATAAACTATTATAAAATATTATATCGCATATCTTAACAAAATATTAATAATATCAATTTTGTTTTCACATCGTGTCTAATTAAGGGTTAGAAAATGTAGTTATTAACAGTAGACATACTTGTAATGAGAGAGAGAGAGAGAGAGAGAGAGAGAGAGAGAGAGAGAGAGAGAGAGAGAGATAAGAGAGAGAGAGAAAAGTTTTAAGTTATTATGTCATACTAACAAAATTAGCTACATTATCAAAATAAATTATATCAATATAAGTTATTGGTTTTCATGTGAAATATTTAATCAAAACCGTTTTTATCAAAGTTTCATTTAGTAGTACAGAAATAAAGAAAAAATTGCATTTGCGGTTCCAAGCATGTCATCATCGTCTACTAAAACACATTTTGCATTTTATGTCTATTTTATCAATGTTATTTTTGTGCAGCGGCATTGCAGAACTCTTTTGCCGTCTGAATAAACCGGTGATGATGTATTTACGGGTCAACGTACAATGTGCAAATTGTTTCGATTTATCTCGTAATAAATCTGATTGGCACTTTATTTTCATTTTTGCGGGGCATAATAGACCTCCTCCATACATCGTCAACCTGTGCCCCGTTTCGTCGATACGCCGGCGGTATTATTTTCACAAGCAAAGCGCCTACTGTGCATGCGCGAGTCGAGAATTACTTTGATTTATCTCGCGTTTTATTAATATATCGCGAAATGTTATTTTTTTTTTATTTTCCGCACAATGCGGTAGAGCGGGCGCAATCTATTTGCTTTTATTTCAGTCAGACAACGTTCCGTTGTCATCAGCGTTGTACCCGCTGACGTTTTCGCAATATCCGCGAAAATATTCGTGCATACATCGGTCTAAAAGTTTCGACTCGCAAATCCAACAAAGAATTAATTAATTTCACCGAAAAAATTTATTATCTTCTTAATCTTTTTATGAAGATCGAATAGATAATAAATTATTCTATTCCTTTGGAAATATATTCTTTTCTTCGGCGATTCGAAATACTTTTATCTGCATTTTGCAATTATAAATCTGCAAAATGAAGTTTTTAATGAGGCTGTACTGATACGTTGAAAATATCGATGATAAAATGCTATTGGCTCATTATATTATTGGCAAATATCTGTTTAATTAACAAGCTGTTAATTGCTATAATATTTTCCACAATTCTGATTTTAAACATGCGCGAATTGAGCAGTGTGCGTAGAGTACTACATCGAAATGCCAATATCAAGTTTTTAAAACATAAAAATTGACAAACATTTAAAATAATATTTAATGAAATTGAGCTGTTTTACTGCTTGACTAAATTAAAAGCTTCCTGTAGGTTCAATTATTCATATCATGGTTAACAGATTTTACATTTCTATGAATATTTTAGTTACAACGGTTACATAACAATTACATTTTTTTCGATCCTCTCAAATTTCTCGTAACCGATATAAGAGTTTGATATTTAAATAAAAATATTGTTACAATTTATTTATATTATTTATACTTACTTTAATATCATATTTATCATTTTAATTAATTACTTGTTATACACTTTCACTTTTTCTTAATAATTAATACACTTTTACACTACTGTTGTTGTTCCATGATTAATTATTAAAATTTCAAATAATTAAAAATTCATTCCAGAATACTGTTCTCTATCTTTATATTCCTAAACTTCGACCTCTCATAAAGTTTTTATCTTTCAGTAGTAATCTCTTCCTGAGAACATGCCAAATGTAAAATAGCTTGAATATCGACGTTTCGAACGCAATAAAGCTCATTATCACATCTACACTAACACATTATATTAATTTAAAATCTCACTTATCTTACTATCGTATTGTCAAACGAAGTAAAATCAGCGGGATGAATTTTGCAAAAAATATTTAGTTTCCATCAGCTCAAACGCTCTCGTATAACATCCTCGCGAAACTAGATTTTTTGCATTCTGCATAAACTGAATGCATATTTAAAGTTCAAACAGAATCGATCTGATTATCCGTCGTTTTCCTTTTCCCACTTTGTATATCTTCTCCTCCATAGCAATCACATCCGCAAAATTATTATATCGCATTGCTTTAATTGGCTGACAAGAGAGAAAGAGAGCTCGTTGCCGGATCGAATCGACGTTCCGTTTCTCGAAAATTTCAAACAGTAAATTGAAACTGTTTTTGCGGAATGGCGCTTAATTAAATTGTATGGCGACCTCCGCAGGCGTATTCGCGCGCGATCGGGAGATGCATCTGATGGGTGCGAGGGGATGCATAGTATGGGGGTGAAAAGGTGGGTGGCGGATGGGTGAGCAGACTTTTAAAAGCGCAGCACGTGTTGTGGTTGTACAGCGTACTCGTTTGTCGGGTTTCAATTATGAAAGGACGCTTCGAGCGCTGGTTAATAATGCATCAAATTTCGAAATTGACAAGACCCCCCCTCGTTAAGGTACCGCGCGTTGTTTCCAGTCTGAATAGATTTTATTGACTGAACCTTCATTCTTTCCACAGAACAAACTCTCTCGTTTTGTTTATCCTCGTTTATTTTTCGGCCGTTTGATATTTAGAGAAATGTAGAGAAATGATCGATTAAGATAAAATATAGCTAATCTAGAAACAATATTATGAATAAATCTTGTCATAAATAAGATTATTTATTGTTTCATCATATCTTCTTTATGTATTATCTATGGATATTATTTTTATAACAATAAAAATTATAATTAAATAGCGAATATTTAAATCAAACGTTTGATTCATTTTTAAATTTGCGATAATTTCATCATTACATATAATCCGTTTTATTTTCCCAGGAGGATCCAGGACTGATTCCACGACTCTGTGAAGGAATCTTCTCAAAGATCGAACAGGAGAGCGAGCATGAGAGAATCTATCGCGTGACAGTTAGGTAAATGCATTATCTGACAAAAACTTTTTAAACTGCTCCAAAAATAAATACGCGAAGTATTTTAAATCCTGATTTTAAAAGTAGATTTTTCATTTTTACCTCTTGCGCCATTCGCGTAAAAAAGAAACAAAATGTAATCGTATGGCGATTCAATTTAATGTCCGCAAATTGTTGTATTTCATTGTTGTTATTCTAAACGAACGTATTAGAAAATAAAATAATACATCCTTGATTATTTTAATAACTATTAAAAATAAATTAGTACTAATAGATAACATCATATTTCTTCATTATTATGAGGAAAGTTGTAATAATCCTCGATATCCTGATATTGTGGCTAACGCGATGAGAACATCGACGAAAATTGCGAGCTATCGATAGAAAACTTTCCGATCGCCACTTAAGATGCTCGAAGTAGTCCGATACTTTGTATCAAGTATTCCAGAAGATTCTTGCGAATCGCGTTACACGTGCCTTTCCTTTCACCACTGGAATTTTGCCGCTTCTTACAATTTCGATAAAATTTGCTTGTATTCTTTTATTTTCCCTACCGCCGGCGCGGCGCTTCCAGATTTTCCTTGCAAATATATTAATTCTTTTGCAAGAATCAATTTTCTTATGAACTTCTTTATTTTTCGAATCGGCAAATTTCAAATTATTAATTGCATATAATCCGAATTTTTGCGGATATTATAATATCCGCAAGAATTCGGATTATATGCAATTAATATTGTGATTTGTATTTAAAAAATGTATAAAATTACCGAATATGGAATTATATGTTCATACATTAATGATTGGAAAAGAACGATATATATATATAATACTTTACCTATATAGCATAATATGATGAGAGATATAATTGACAACAACAGTATAATGTTGTTGTCGGTGATTAACATTTACGCTAGATACAATATTGTCGCTATTAGCATATATTTGCAGAATAGTGTATCAATTTAATCACGCTTGCCGATAACGTGTCCGCCTTGATAACTGTGGGAAAATCAACATCCTCACGTGGTGCCCTTTGCTCGCAAACACCACACGAATACACGTACGCGAAATGTGGATACAGAATGATCGAAAAGTCACGAAACTGAAATATATACGTAGTACGATAGTTACTCATTAAAAAAGTGCGTAAAAATTATTATTAACTGTTATCACGATATGTCGTCGAATATCAGATCAAATGTAATTTAGATATCTCGTTTTTCCACTAGCATTACGTTATCAAAATAAAAAAAATTATAGAGACAAATTGCGCGCGAGAAACTGCATATAAATAATTTTATTTTGTATATATATTATAGTATTTTTTAACAGAATGTGTGTATAAAGATTTCTGTTCACACTACCTCTCATAAAACTAGCAGTATTAAAATATGCTGCTATATTCAACAATCGCGACAACTGTAACAATGAAATATTTGATTGCGTGATATATCTATGTATGTGTAACACAGGGTTGGGAAGTTACTTTACAAGTTACTTACAAATTACTCTTTATTACAAAAATTAAGTACAATAAGTTAATTCGGGTATTTTATTTTTTATGTTATATTTTATCATTATTTGCTCCAATTCTATATTACTTTTTGTACTCAATTTCTATAACAAACACATATAAGGTAACCTAAAAAGTAACTTATAAGTAATTTTCCCAATCCTCTTGTAACATATTCACGTATATACGATATTAATGTATGTCAAAATCACCGTAATAATTGTAGATTGTATATACATAACTTTTCGATCATCCTGCATGTCGACTATCAATACTAGCAAAAAACATTGATGGTTTCGGTCAAGGCCCGTCAATTGGTGCGCTTTTATCTATTACCATCGATAGCTTCAAGTTCATTCCTTTCGTGTCGGCGATTACGACGTCGTTTCGCGCCTAATCGCTATCGCGAATTGCTCCAGCTTCGATACGCGCCCGTACTAGCAAGAGCTCTCCCACAAGTAACAATGACAAATTGATACCGCATCGAAACTCTGCGCTACGCGGATCGCAAAAGTCGTTTTGCCGATCTATCGCCGTCGGCATACGGATTTACTATTTATTCCGCTTTAATCGCTTTTACATCGTTGTCCCGTGTATCGAAATAGTCCGCACTTGCGGGAACAAATCGCTCGCGATAATTGCCAATCGGCAAAAAAAATCCGCCGAGACGCAGTATATCGAAGTTCGTGACGCGAATAAATGGATAGTCCGACTTCGCGTATTTTTGGCAGTCGTTAAACGCGACGCTAGATGAAATCGAGGATTAGTTTGGGAAAAGCTGTAACTGCGTTGGCATAAAGTCAATTCCGCTATCATTGATCGTGTTGTGAGCATATCGAAAAGACAAACTTTGCGACAAGTTGTAGCACGAAGCTTTCGAGTTTTTCGTATGCATGCTCGTTGAATTCAATGAGTTGAACGCCGTAGAATTAGTTCGGAAAGAGTTTAAAATCCATGTCTCAGTATTTTAGAAAACACCAGAAAATTTAAAAATTTCAGGCCTCTTTGATGTTCTAAATATTGTAACATTTAATGTTATGATATTAAAAAAAATCTATCCTTAAAAATCCCTACATTATATAATTAAAAAGTGTAAAGATAAATATTTAAAAATAGAGATGTGTCAGTTAATTATTTATAATTTCTAAGTAATAATCGCAATCTTACGATAAATCTTTTTTCAATGATTCAAGAAAATTTAGAAAGGAAAATACTGTGAGTTAAGTGAAGGGTTGCGATGGGCGGTGGTGGAAGGGAGAGACGATAGGCGAGCTTGCGAGTCGCGAGGTTTGCAAGCGCGGTCTGTTGGCCTGGATGTGTCTTGCAAGCTCAGTGCCCCGTGACTCGCAATCCTAGACGGACGCAATCTCGCTACAATCTGGTAAGAATTATGCACCTTGAACATCGAATGTGCACTATATCGAATTTCCTACGTTTCTTATATTTCACGCATTTCGACCGAAGAACACGGTAAACTTAGATTCATGGATCCTCGACTTTCCGAAGTATTCCAAGACGCTTGGATTCTGCAACCTTCGGATCCTCGATAAACTCTTAGAATTTGAAAGTCTCAAATCTTGAGTTGTATGGATTCGTAGATCTGCAGAATTTTTATGTACTTCCTAATCTTTGATTCACTGATTTTCTAGAATTTCTAAATTCTCCCATTCCAGAATTGCTTTTCTAGAATATGTTTTAAGATTTTCAAAAATCCTAGAGCTTTCAGATCTCGATATTTTTATATTCTAAAAAGTATTGACTTTAGAATATTTAAATCACTGAATTTCAGAATCTTTAATTTCTTCAACTTTTTTTCAAGCGTTTTTTTCAGCGTTTATGTCGTTTTTTTCAGCGTTTATGTCGCTTTTTTTTTCTTTGATATAATTTTGTTGCATGTCATCGGAAAGGGGAATATCTCTCTTTTTCTTTTTTTTATATCTATCAAATATATACACAAAATTATTCTTTTATCACTCTCGAATTTCACAAAACAGAAAGTTTCTCATTATACCATATAAAGTACAATATAAGCATCTTATGTGTAGTAATGTTGTTCATAATAACTTTATAATTCGATATGCAAGTATCAAATATTTATGAAAATAAATAATAGAACATTACGGCGTCGAGTGTACTTTTTGAAATCACATAAAAAATAAATCGTTTTATTATTGCCATGCTTACACGCGTATAATTTCACAAATTTTGAACGGGTTCTCGTTCGCGTTCAATTAATATCTTCCTTTCTTTCGATAATTAAGCAAAGCATTTTATCGTGCGTATCAACGAGCGGTTAGCGAGATAAAGGATAAATGGAACACTCGGTAACGATTGAAAAAATAGATAAAAGCATTCTTTTTCCTATTTTAATCTTCCCCCTCTCGATAAAATAGTAATAAACGAAAGTAGATATTCTACGTATCTATACGTTCAATAATAAAAGTATAAGATAGTAGTAGTCTCTGCATGTCAACAATAATAGTTAAGGAAAAATTCATAGTAATTAAAAGAAAGACGGCAATAATTTTGGTGTCGATTTCATACAGGCTGATATATTGGGTTCAATATGAAAAAGACAAATCAGTCGCGCCACGTTTCGTTTTGAGGCCGATTCCATCGGCCCATCAGCAGTCGGACGTAAAATCGTTAAGTGGGTCGAGCAAGAAAGTTCGTCCGAGGCACATTTCTACTTGCCACCGTCGACTGTTTAGGGGTAAATTAAATTCAGCGGGGCGGGCGACGGGAGATAGACATGTTGCAAAAATTTTGACGCTCGCGTTTCCTATTGAGCGAAATGCTTCTCACTAGGTAATAATGATCGGAGAATGGTTATACTTGAAAGATAAAGTGTCTTCAAATCTTTCTAATGTGTATCATCGTCATAAAAATAAACCGTCTACCATGCTGCGTGTGCCCCAAGTAAGAACAGCGCGTGCTAGTTTAAACGCGGAAGTTTCTTACCGAAACTTTTGCATGTAGACATTTATTCGATAGATGTCGGTATAAAAATACATTCCTGGATGTAACCGTATTGTTTCTTGCTACAACGTTGTATCGCAACGATCAAATTTGTTGGCCCTGATAATTCATCGGAATTAATCGTTGCGATAATGGACTGTTCGACACGCGTCGTGTGTAAAATGCGCGGCGCCTCGTAATTGCGATCGATATTATCGGCGATGCTTGTGAAAAATCGGGGACGCGACGAGCTTTCGACTTGACAAAGAGCCGGAAGTCATCGTGAAATATCACATCGCGGATTAAATGTGTGTTAACAGCAGCACGGCGCTGCCCAGCAATCGATTCCGACGCGGATTCATCATTGAAACGTGCATCTATAATCGATGGACGCATTAACCCACTCGAGTCAGCTGCCCAATGTACCCGTCAAGCGTGATTGATCGGATATAAAGCTTCATCCGTAATCATCAAACAATACAGCCCAAGTGAAACGCATCGCGAGTGTAACTGACGGATGAGAAATAATGTT